CCTCTACTTTCTGGTATAATTTATGCCATTCTGCTTTACGGTTTATTTGTACTAAGCATTTAAAACGTGTGTTTTTTTGTATGTGGATTTTTGAAGATTTCGCCATTTACAGCCAGTCAATCCATTGGATACCCTACACCTTTAACCAAATTAGCTTTTTTTGCACTTAGATCACTTATACCACTCCTTTTATTATCTTGATGATAATTAAACTTATAATCCTCATTTGCCTAAGTTGGCCCTAATTCACCATGCTATTTAACCTAAGAGTTGGCCAGCAGGGCTGTTTGATACTGGTCTCATTTTCTATTTATATTTCCTAGACTGTAGCTGCCGGTCCATCAGGAGTGCAGAATAATACTATTGAAGTGAAGGCCTCTGACTTTGATGTCCTGGCAGCGCTCAGTCACGATATAGCCAACTCAAAGACAAGTGGCAGCACCACTGGTTCCCGCTCTGAGGCTCCCTCTACTCCAAGCAGAGTTCCAGCTTCTCCCGCTATCCCTGTACCGATTCCCGGCTCTACTTCTTGCTCACCAGGTCACGGAGGCGGTGGATCACCTCCTGGTGAATATGGACGTGTAATCCCAGCAAATCCATTGGGCGATCTAGCCACTATTGGGTCCGATGCAAAGAAGACAACTACACCGCCATTACTACCACCGCAATTGCTACAGGTTAGTCAAATCATGTTTTTACTATCACCTAATTTACTCATGTCATATCTTCTGTTTACTTCCTTTATTTTCGCTTTTTTTAGTTTCTCTATCTCCATATACCTGTTTTTCATTTGCACACATTACTACATGGGATGAGTTAATTTGCATCTGTCCATTTTGAAGGGGTACTATTTTTCTAGAATTCAGTTCAGCTTAGACTGCTGCCGGCTCAAAGAAGTTGCACTGTTGCTTAATTTAACTCTGTGTACGATTAAGAATAAAGTATAATCTTCATAGAAATGAAGATCAGGACGGTGTGGTCTTTTGTATAGTTGCAGTCTCCTTTCGTTGTATGAAACTTGCTTGACCTTGTTTTCGCAATGTGGTCATATTGGCAGGAAGACCTAGAGCAAGGCACCTTGTCCGGAATCCATAGTATGCATGATAATTTCCATAGTCGGACCGTGGACTTGGCACATTCCCAGACGTTTCACCGGCATGCTCAGCGAGCCTTGCTACTCTTAGCACCACACTACAACTCGTCAGAGACAATTGTTTAACAGACCATTGGTCAAAGGATCGGCTTCACTTAGTTGTAGTGTGGTCCTGAGAATGGCAAGACTTACTGACCATTCCGGCGAAACGTCTGGGAATGTATCAAGTCCACCGTCCGGTTTTGGAAATTATCAAGCATACAATGGACTACCAATATGACGAAGTTGTGAAAACAACTTCTATAATCGTCAAACTTTACTATTGATTATTTACAAGATCATGCATAAATTGCTCTTTATTTTCTCTAAAGTGTTCCATGTCTTAGAATTGTGCTAACTTGCGCTTCGGTTTGCATTTCTCTTCAAAAAGAACTCAATAACTCTAGATTTTTTAGGTGACCTACTGACTGCTGTTTAGACTCTTACGGCGTCATCGAATTTGATTTAGCCTGGTTTCCAAAAAGGTGATTTCATTTGAGATGGACTGCAGTTTCGATCTCGCTCTCGTCTTATCGGGATCCCCAGCGGGACTTCGTATCGGATTATAAGCATCGTGATCTGTTAGACAGCCACGGACGACATTTGGCCACAGGCCAGATATGACTTCCAGGGCAAGCCAGGCCTCTCTCATATCAGATCTGTGGTGGGATTGTTGACGAAGCAAACATGTATTCGCTGCCTGGGCTAAGTGAACTCAATGTCATATTTGGGCCTACTCACATTGTGTCAGTCCTTGAATCACCTCAAACTAACAGGATGACTAGGTTTTTACTTAAGAATAACTGATTATCTTTAAACCGGCTCATATCGAAAATCTCACTTCTTGTGCTTGCTTCATAGTCCTCTTATTCGGTTAAGGTTAAACTCTGAACCAAAGATTGGAGACAAATACCTACAACTATACAACATCTAGACGCCTTAATTCCCAAGAAGGCATACACTAAATGCAAATCACGGTCTTTCTTGCAGGAGTATGTTCTACTCTAAGTTATGAAAGCTAAATTCATGGGAAATCTGAGCGTTTTCATTTAGTTGATTTATTTATAGCTTTGACTCGATTTTTTAACAGAATTGGAGGTCTTGCCATGTGTCATAAGTGCAGTAAGGTTATAGCTAGTGATGAAGGGCTCGGACAAGCCTCCCTAGTTATCTAACCTTAATTTAATGTTTTCGCCTGCTTTGTTTAGGCAATTAAACGTTTGCGTGAAATGATGCAATTATTTGTTAATCTACAGTGTTAATTTCCCCTGATGTCAAACCTCATCTATTCGTGACAGCTTTT